TTTCACATTATTTTTTTCTAAACAAGTCTTTGGAACTTGGGATGTATCTTATAGCACATGTCAGTTCAGACTAGCCACATTCCAAGTAGTCATTAGCCACATTTGCAGTGACACTGTATTGGACAGCAAAGTTCTGAACCTCTCAGAGGCTTGCAGAGGGCCCTGGAAAGAGCCCTTAGAGTGGGTAGGAGAGACATATCCTCATGATTTATGAGCTCTTAACAAAGCCACAGGTTTCCTCTTCTTAGAGAAACCTGATATGTAAAAAAAAAAATTCATCTTGACAGGAAAGGTAAAGCAGGAAGTAATTATTCATGTTACAAAAGAATTAACCACAGGATCTTTTAAATAGCAAGCTCCCTTAGTGCATGGAATATGACTCAATTTGCAAAATGTGATTGACACTTGACATTTTAGTAGCGCCTTTGTTGGGCTGGGAATGGTCTATCATCATAAAATGCAACCTGAGCGGTCAGTTGATCAAGTCTTTATTGAGCACCTACTGCATGTCATGGATCCTTATAGGGGCCCCAGCAGAACTAAGGGTGATCCATACCCAGAAGGCATTCAGGGACTCACGGGGAAGACAAGAGACAGCTTGGGATTGCTTCAGTGGCAGGGGCCAGGGAGGTCTTGGGTCTAGAAGAGCTTAGAAGGTGATGTGGAGGCAGTCAGGGCCCAGCTGTGGTCAGAAGGCCAGGAGGCTGTACATGATTACTTAAGTTTAAAGAAAGGGCAATGGCCGGGGTGGTCGCTCACGCCTATAATCCCAGCACTTTGGGAGGCCAAGACAGGCAGAACATTTGAAGTCAGCCTGACCAACACAGTGAAATCCTGTCTCTACAAAAAATACAAAAATTAGCTGGGTGTGGTGGTATGCACCTGTAGTCCCAGCTACTTGGAAGGTTAAGGTGGGAGGAACACTTGAGCCTGGGAGACGGAGGTTGCAGTGAGCTGAGATGGTGCCACTGTACTCTAGCCTGGGCAACAGAGCCAGACCCTGTCTCAAAACAAAACATCTTTTTTTAGTATCTTCTTAATTATGTATAGATTATATACATATATTACTGTACTAATTGAAGATCAAGAAAACCCCAGAGAAGCTCTTACACTGTTATTATTAGGCTTAACAAACTTTTGAAACACATACAATTGAGTATTGTATGCCTTTAGACATTGGTGGAAAAATGAAGACATTTTTTTCATGATTCAGGTATATAGTTTTAAAATATCTTGCTAATCCTGATGGTTCCACACCAATGTCAAGGGTGGAAGGAAACCCATATTACAAATGATCTTGATAACTGAAAGTTTGGGGGCCATCTCCCCATAAGATCTGATGTGTCTTCCCCATGTGGCGGGCAAAGAGCTCCCAGCAGAAGCTGAAGTGACACCTCTATCATTTTTTCTTCCTTCCTTCTTTCCTTCCTTCCTTCCTTCCTTTTTTTTTTTTTGATAGAGTTTTGCTCTTTCACCCAGGCTGGAGTACAGTGGCACAATCTTAGCTCACCGTAACCTCCACTTCTGGTTTCAAGCGATTCTCCTGCCTCAGCTTCCAGGGTAGCTAGGATTATAAGCACCCGCCACCAAGTCCGGCTAATTTTTGTATGTTTAGTAGAGATGGGGCTTCACCATGTTGGCTAGGCTGGTCTCAAACTCCTGACCTTGTGATCAGCTGGCCTTGGCCTCCCAAAGTGCTGGGATTACAGGCATGAGCCATCGCGCCTGGCCAGCTCTACCATTTTCTTGGCACTTGGCCTCGTGTTGTCTACAGCTCCTACTTTCTTTACACAAATCTTTTCAAGCAGCTGACTCACTTTGTGAGGGTGATTTCAGCAAGAAGGGGTCATAGCCATAAGGAGGCTTTCCCAGGAGGTACCAGAGAACTGCAGGGCACCCCATGGTGGGGCACAGTCAAACCATATCAGATGAGAATTATTAGCTTTGACATACAACTGAGACCTAGAGAAGTTAGCATCATATAGAATGCTGGTGCTTGCTCTGGTGGTACTCCTTGGTTCCGCTGTCCCTCTGGCTGCTTCCTGCCCCTTGAAGGATCCCTGACTGTGTGTCCTGGAGGCTAGGTGAAGGAGCCTGTGCCATTCTGTCAATGGAACAATAGATAAGTTGAATTATTACTTTTTAAAAGTTAAAACAAAATGAATAGAATTGTAATTTTTTTCTCCCATCGTCTCAATGGATGCTTGAAGCAAACACATCCCACTGGAGAGCACTAGGTCAGAAAATAAGCTTAGCTTCTTTGCTGAGCTTTAGGCTCTTTAACTGGGAAGATAGGCATCAGAATGTTGGGAGGGTTAAGTGAGAGAGCGTAGGAAAAAGTATCTGGCATATGAACAGTGGTTACTGTAATCTCAGTTTCTATAGCAAAGCTTTTTTGTTTGTTTTTGAGTCAGGGTCTCACTCTGTCACCCAGGCTGGAGTGCAGTGGTGCAGTCATGGCTCACTGCAGCCTCAAACTCCTGGGCTCAAGCCATCCTTCTGCCTTACCCTCCCCAGTTGCTGGGACTACAGGTGTGTGTCACCACGCCTGGCTAATTTTAAAATTTCTTTTGTAGAGATGGGGTCTTGCTATGTTGCCCAGACTGGGCTCGAACTCCTGGCCTCAAGTGATCCTCCCACCTTGGCCTCCCAAAGTGTTGGGATTACAGATGTGAGCTGGCAGAGGTTTAATAGATCACTATCTAGGCGATCTGAGGAAAGCTGTGTTTTAATTGACCTGTTTCAATTGTTATGATGGCTCATTTTAACTGCTGGGGTTAGGGGCGTAGCATGATACCATAAAGTTAGAGTGTTCATGCCTGCATATTGTCAGGAACACAGAGAAATCTGCAAAGGTTGCCTTGTTCGTGTTCTTCCACTCCTCCTTTCTGTTAATAAGTGATAAGAATGGTTCACAACGCAACTTCATCCTGGGCAGATTTATGCAGTAAAGTCAGCCAGCTAACTTTGGAATACAAAAATTATATAGGAAAGGAATTTCCACTTTGAGTTGCTTATGAACTGTCTGGTTTAGCAGATGTTATGAGTGGACAGACAGAGCACACCAACTTGGGTGGATAGGATGTTTGGAACCGGAAGTGCTTTGGGAATGTATCCCAAATGGATATGCAAAGCCCATGTGATGGGCACCCACTCACCTACCAGTGTTTTTCCTTGAAAACCTATCTCAGTTTATTGAAGTTTGTTGTTGTTGTTTTTAACTCATTTATACTTTTTGTCTCCTATTTAAGAAATCTTTGCCAAACCTAAGGTCATTAAGATTTTCTCCTATCCATTCTTATAAAAAGTTTTACAATTTTAGCTCTTACACTTAGGTCTGTGATCTATTTTGAGTTAATTTTAGTATATGCATGCTTTACAGAGCTCATTTAACTTTCCCTCTTCCATTATTTTATCATAATTTCTGAATTGCTAATTCACCACTTGGGGTTTTATCTAATTTTTGCTATCCTTGTATTCATTCATTTGCCATTCATTCATTCATTCATTCATATGGATCTGCAAATAAAAAAGGAAAAGGTGGCCGGGCACGGTGGCTCACGCCTGTAATCCCAGCACTTTGGGAGGCCGAGGCGGGCGGATCATCTGAGGTCAGGAGTTCGAGACCAGCCTAGCCAACATGGTGAAACCCCGTCCCTACTAAAAATACAAAAATTAGCTGGGTGGGGTGGCATGCATTCAAGGAGAATCGCTCGAACGTGGGAGGCGGGAGTTGCGATGATCTGAGATTGCGCCACTACACTCCAGTCTGGGTGATAGAGTGAGACTCCATCTGAAAAAAAAAGGAAAAGGTTATGAAATTGGTTCATATTGAGGTGGTCATGAGGAGAAGCCCAGTTTAAATGAATTGCATAATTGATATATGGATAAGTTAACTAATTTTTGGATTGGTTATGCTGCTAATTTGCATTGGCACTTTGTCAATGAGAAGACCCACCTTTCTTACCTGTTGCCTTTGCTCGTTACCAAGTATGAGAGGTTGCTGTAGATCAGGAAAACAATGTAACATGGAATTGATGTGTAAGAGCTCATCTGTTGAGAGGGCAGTTGTGGTTTTGATGTAGGCAGTCTGAGACATTGGCTTGGCCAGCCGGTCCCTCTATACCAGCTGTCTTTACACGTGTTGTCACTGCAAGATGAGTGTTACCTCCGTAGGATGGTGTTATTAGTCTGTTTTCATGCTGCTAATAAAGACGTACCCAAGATTGGGTAATTTATAAAGGAAAGAGGTTTAATTGACTCAGTTCAGTATGACTGGGGAGGCCTCAGGAAACTTACAATCATGACAGAAGGGAAAGCAAACACATCCTTCTTCACATGGTGGCAGGAAGGAGAAACGCCAAACAAAAGGGGAAAAAGCCCCTTATAAAACCATCAGATCTTGTGAGAACTCACTATCACAAGAACAGCATGAGGGTAACTGCCCTCATAGTTCAATTACCTCCCACCGGGTCCCTCCCACAACACTTGGGCATTGTGGGAACTACAATTCAAGGTGAGAATTGGGTGGGGACACAGCCAAACCATATCAGATGGGGATTATTAGCTTTGACATTTTGTACAACTGAGACCCAGAGAGGTTAGCATCACATAGTATTGGCGGGGGATGGGAGAACCAGAAGTTAAACTGACATCTGTTGTCTGTACAGTGAGCTCAGGGAGACAATGCTGGACAACCTCTGGGTAGGGCAAATGTTGTTAGCTGGCTGTCATCATGCAGCTTCCCCTCTGAAGCGCCTGCTGGCCCCAAGACCTGTAGGCCACCCTGCCTGTGCCTGACCACGGACCAGCACTTTGTGGTTTCTGTGCTATAGCCTTCAGGTTAACCAACATTGGGTTACCGTGTGTGGCCCTGTTATTTTGAATATTTGTAGAGGGGAAGTCCCTTTAATGTGACTTTACTGGCCTTCAAGGGATACTGGGCCTCAGCCTTCTCCAACATCTGACCTAAATTACTTTGTTTTCCCTATTCCTTCCAGTGGAGGCCATAGTGGAGTTTGACTACCAGGCCCAGCACGACGATGAGCTGACGATCAGCGTGGGTGAAATCATCACCAACATCAGGAAGGAGGATGGAGGCTGGTGGGAGGGACAGATCAACGGCAGGAGAGGTTTGTTCCCTGACAACTTTGTAAGAGTGAGTACAAAGCAAAACCCTTTTCCTGTCTCCTGTGTGGGCTCTGCTGACCAAAGGCTATGGGGGCGCTTGAGGATGAATTGCATGAACTCTCTTAGGGGATGGCTTGAACTCCTTTGTGATATCAAGAGAAGCATGTATAGTTTTGCCCTTGGTATCTGGGATACTTGTTTTGAAATTGCTTTTTTAAGGCTCAGGATGATCTCTTTCCACTGTGTATCACTTCCTAGAATATGCTAAGGTTGGGCACAGTGGCTCACACCTGTAATCCCAGCACTCAGGGAGGCTGAGGTGGGCAGATCACTTGAGATCAGGAGTTTGAGACCAGCCTGGCCAATATGGTGAAACCCCATCTCTACTAAAAAAAAATACAAAAATTAGCTAGGTGTGGTGGCATGTGCCTGTAGGCCAGCTACTTGGGAGACTGAGGCAGAAGAATCGTTTGATCTCGGGAGGTGGAGGTTTCAGTGAGCCCACATTGTGCCACTGCACTCCGGCCTGGGCAAGAGAGCAAGACTGTCTAAAAAAAAAAAAAAAAAAAAAGTAAAGCTTGTTAAATTGTTGTATGTACTTGTTTATTTGCTTTGGGAGTTTAAAATAATTTTACTTTTTTCTATTCCTTGCAAAATGGAGGTAAAACTCAGTTTTGACCACTTAAATGAAATAACAATTAAATGTAGAATTCAGCCAGACATGGTGGCTCATGCCTATAATCCCAGTACTTTGGGGGGTTGAGACAGGAGGGTCACTTGAGCCCAGGAGTTTGAGACCAACCTGGGCAATATAGGGAGACCCCTGTCTCTACAAAAATAAAATAAAAAAATTAGTCAGGCATGGTGGTTTGCACCTGTAGTCTCAGCTACTTGGGAGGCTGTGGTGGGAGGATCACTTGAGCCCGGGAGGTTGAGACTCCTGTGAGCCATGATCATGCCAGAGCACTCCCTGTCTCTAAATAAATAAACAAATAAATAAATGTAGAATCTAAATTATGGAATGCCTTTTTTTTTTTTTTTTTTGAGATGGAGTCTCGCTCTGTCGCCCAGGCTGGAGTGCAGTGGCGCGATCTCCATTCACTGCAAGCTCCGCCTCCCGAGTTCACACCATTCTCCTGCCTCAGCCTCCCGTGTAGCTGGGACTACAGGCGCCTGCCACCACACCTGGCTAATTTTTTGTATTTTTAGTAGAGACAGGGTGGTCTCAATCTCCTGACCTCGTGATCCACCAGTCTCAGCCTCCCAAAGTGCTGGGATTACAGGCGTGAGCCACTGTGCCCGGCCTATGAAATGCTTTAAATGAATGAATGAATATAGAATTCAAATTATGCAATGTTTTCCACCTTTGTATTCATATTGCCTTTTTTCTTTTTCTTTTTTTTTTTTTTGAGACAGAGTCTTGCTCTGTTGCCCAGGTTGGAGTGCAGTGGCATGATCTTGATCTCAGCTCACTGCAACCTCCACCTCCCAGGTTCAAATGATTCTCGTGCCTCAGCCTCCCGAGTAGCTGGGATTACAGGCACGTGCCACCATGCCTGACTAATTTTTGTATTTTTTTTTTTTAGTAGAGATGGGGTTTCACCATATTGGCCAGGCTAGTCTCAAACTCCTGACCTCAAGTGATCCGCCCACTGCAGCCTATCAAAGTGCTGGGATTACAGGTGTGAGCCACCATGCCCGGCTCATATTGCCTTTTTGATAGGAGCAATATCATTTTACCTTACCCTTTTATGTCCATGAAGCATTGAACAAAACTTACTTCTTCAGTAATGTTTTGAAAATTATGCCTTTTGGAGAAGTCATTTACAGGTTAATTATAAAAATGTAATTCATTCATATTAATAAATTACCACACAGTTGTAAGTAATACTTTGAATTGTTGGGTAGAAAAGGATCAACTGGAGGCTGTTCCTCATGGGGAATATTAACTAGGTCTAAAAGTCCCCATGCCATAAACTTTCTATCTCATACTGGAGAAGAATGGATTGTTCTCAGAAGAATGGATTGTCCTCAGTAGGAAGACCTGCATGCAGAAGTCCCCAGGTCCCCTGCTGTAGTCTCCCTGTTACCAGATAATACTTAAGAGGACTGTGCCTTGGATACAGGGAGGCAGGTAGTATGGGGAACCTTGGGCCCACAGAAGCAGGTGATCCCCACCAAAGGAGCCCTGAGGGCTGGGTGGGAGGGGTTTTTTTAATGACAAGGGGTTGTTGATGAAAAATGTGTGATGTACACTGGACTTCCAATCACTATCGTTTCAGAGTCTAAAATGAATAGAAACCTGTTTAAATCTTTCTTTAGGATCTTGTCTCAGGGTGATCCCACTAGCATTTCTGTTTTCTTTTCTCTTTGGTGTGAAAAGGCTGGGGAGAATTTTGTAGGGAACATGCCACTAAACATTGCTTTCTGGAGTTGTAGGAATATAGGCTTTCCCTGCACTGGACTACACTTGGATCCAGCCTTTCTCTCCCATTTTAAGAGTGGGAAAGTGCTGCATCTGGGCCACCACAGATCGACTCTGTGGAGGTGTGAATGGGAGTTCTTTTGCATATCCAAACAAAGACCCCAGTTTTAGGAAAGGAGCATCCCTGAAGTTGAGCTGCATTCTAGTGTGGAAAGAGGGTTTTTCCAGATAAAAGGGGCAGTTGTTAGAGTGAAGATGAAGGAGGAAGGAATGACAGAGGGGGACTTTGGGAAAGAGAGAAGACCCTGGGAAGGAGGGACGACTGTGGGAAGGATAGCAAGATTGTGAGAAAGTGAGCAGGACTGTGGGGAAGAGAGAGGAGGGCCCTGGGAAGGAAGGAGGACTGTGGGAAGGTGAGGCAGATGGTGGGAAAGAGGGAGGAGGACCCTAGGAAGGAAGGAGGACTGTGGGAAGGGGAGAAGGATCATGGGAAAGAGAGAGGAGGACCCTGGGAAGGAAGGAGTACTTTGGGAAGGTGAGGAGGACTGTGGGAAAGAGGGAGCAGGACCCTGGGAAAGAAGGAGGACTGTGGGAAGGGGTGGAAGACTGTGGGAAAGACAGAGGAGGACCCTGGGAAGGAAGGAGGACTGTGGGAAGGGGAGAAAGACCATGGGAAAGAGATAGGAGGACCCTGGGAAGGAAGGAAGAATGTGTGAAGGCAAGGAGGACTGTGGGAAAGAGGGAGGAGGGCCCTGGGAAGGAGGGAGGACTGTGGGAAGGAGAGGAGGACCGTGGGAAGGAGAGGAGGACCATGGGAAAGAGAGAGGAGGAGCCTGGGAAGGAGAAGGGACTGCAGCATCAGCTCCAGTTTTGAGGGTAGGTAGTATTTTGAACACCTTTATGTGTCTTATTGGCCTAGTGTCACCTCATTTTAAACCATGAATCTACAGATTCAGAAAACTGAGTTGGAAGGCACTGAGAAAGCCTATGGAATTTGCTCATAGCATAGGGCTGGCACGCTGTCAGTGACTGTGGAGGGAACCAGGGCAGGGAAATGCAGTGCAGGAACTGCCCACGTGAGAGCTGGAACCTGACCCTCCCCCTGCTCAGAGAGGACTCCTTGCTGTGAAATGGAGGTGATGTCTTGACCAGAAGGTCTCGCCATTGCCCCATCTGCTCTGCTTTGGGCTAGGCCAGTGTGGGCATGGCAGCAGGCTCCTGTCCTGTGGCTTCCCATGGGCTTTGGCTCAAGGGAAGCCCTGGTGGGAGATGGCAGGGAGGGAGGGAGGCGAGTGAGATTGGGAGGCGGGGGAAGGCGGTTATCCCGCCAGCTCCCTGCTCATGTGGATTTTGGGCTGGCCCTGTCCCTCACGGGATGGGTGGCTGCTCCAATCAAGCTCACCTTCCTCCTTACCCATCTCTCCTCTTTCCTTCAGGTCTGGGGGCTCCCTTGTTTCAAGTCCCGGGCTACCACCTTGGGCTTTCTTTATACCTCACCCACCCTGTGAAAGTCTATTAATCCTACCCGAGATTACCCTAATTCGAGTGGGCCATCTGTTTCCTTTTGAGAACCCGACTACCTCATCGGCCTGTTCAGAGGATTAAACCAGAGAATGCTGGAAATTGTTTACCACAGTGGCCAGCCCCCTAGTGAGTGTGCCGCAGTGCTGGTCACTGGGTGAGGGAATGGGTCCTCTCCTCTGGGCCTGAATTGCCCTGCACTCACCTGCTCAGGTGTCCTCTAGTTTCAGCTGGAGCACTTCAAGGGAGGGGAAGTCATGCTCTTGAGAGATGCTTGTTCTACCTAGGGCAGAAAGGATGTAGCAGGAGTGGCTGGGGCTGCGCTACTTGTAGCTGTCACATTTGGCAGAAAAAGAAACTTCTATTCTTTCAGATGGCTGAGTCTATTTTCAAGTCTTCACCCACTGGAAATGTTTTAGGCCTATTATTGAAAATTCAGTAGGTGGATGCAGTGGAGTTTAACAATAACCAGGACTCTGTAGAGAATTCTAAAAGCTGAAAAAGCATCTTTAGGTAATAATTATCATATTGGCATAGGTGTGCACTTTTGAAAGTAGCTTTATGCATGTCCTATTTGATGTAAGAATAATGTGTCCCCAGATTGAATTGGGTAATCTTGTGGAATCTCATTTGTTTATTTATTTATTTGAGATGGAGTTTCACTCTCGTTGTCTAGGCTGGAGTACAATGGTGCAATCTCAGCTCACCGCAGCCTCCGCCTCCCAGGTTCAAGTGATTTTCCTGCCTCAGCCTCCCGAGTAGCTGGGATTACAGGCATGCACCACCATGCCTGACTAATTTTGTATTTTTAGTAGAGACAGGGTTTCTCCATGTTGGTCAGGCTGGTCTCAAACTCCCTACCTCAGGTGATCCGCCCGCCTCAGCCTCCCAAAGTGCTGGGATTACAGGCGTGAGCCACCACGCCCGGTCAGGAATCCCGTTTTTATACCCACATGCCTTTCTGTCCATGTTACCACTGTCAGAGAGCCTACCTTAAGCATTTTCTTTTTTTTTTTTTTTGAGATGGGTTGTACTCTGTTGCCCAGGCTGGAGTGTAGTGGCATGTTCACGTCTTAGTGCAG